CCAATACGTGTGTGAGCCGCAGGGAACTGTAACCGTGTCTTCCCGCAGGACCAGCGATAGCGACTCGATGGTACAGTATACAGTAATTATGACGGTCGGTGGGACTTAATAAGACATAGGGAGGAAGAAATATGACAGTTATGACAGCCTGCGATACGTACATAACAGACACGGTTTGACTTGACAAAAGAAAGGAGGAGTTGTAAGGCTGGCGGGGCAGCCAGTGTGTGAACCCGTCATGACACCATGCCAGTGTCATATTTTTTTCTGGTGTGTTACAGTCTCTCGCCGGCCTCACAACACCACCACTGCCACCATCAGTAGCTGGTTGGTGATGTGTGTGTGTGTGATGGGAGTTGTCTCTCAGGGGGCTGAGGGGAGGCGACCAGCGAGGCAGAAAAGTTGACCAGGGAAAGATGCGACGTTTGGGGTCCATCAGAGGTCGACGAGTGTCCTTTGATGGCCTCGATACTACTCCTGGGGGTTGTGGTGAGGGGCAAGAGGTCTCCAATGTCAGTATTGTCTGTCAAGTCGGTCAGGAGAGGACGTTCATAGATCTGCCTGCCGCAAGTAAGAGAGATTGATACAGATAATTTTTAAGAGCTGTGTTGAGCTTGTGCTAGTTAGATGGTTTAAAGTTTTACTGAGGTTAATGAACTGAATGAAGAGCTGAGTGTGTGATGACGAGGGAGAGAGGAGATAGTGGGTGGGAGAAGAGTGAGTTGGAGGGGGGTGGGTGGGAGAAGAGTGAGTTGGAGGGAGGGTGGGTGGGAGAGTGAGTTGGAGGGAGGGTGGGTGGGAGGAATTTTGACGGGTGGATGAGAGGGAGTTTGACGTTAATGCGCGATTTAAAGCGGCGTGGGAGGTGAAAGAGAGTGATTTGGGAGTTGTATGAGAGTAGGTAGAGTGAGTGGGGGGGGTGAGGGAGGAAGACAGAGATATGAGTGAGGGTGATGGGTGGGGTAGCGGGTGGGTGATGTTAGTGATGGCTGCCTAATTTTAGCCCCGCTGCGCCACTCATACCGCTTATTAGTCATTGGCGACCACGACGGACGCAGCTCTCTCTCTCTCTCTCTCTCTCTCTCTCTCAGATCACGTGTTCAAGTCGTCCTCTGTCTCAGTAGCGTCCCACTCAACCACACTCCACCCCTCTCAGCTGTTTCCCAGAACTGGAGAGTTTCGACTTACACTCGTACGCCAACCACACCGGCTTTCCCTACACTCGGCCTGTCTTTGTCTCCCTTTACTCTCCCTTTCTCCCAACTCTCTCTACGTCTTCGCCTCCCACCTTCACTACATCAATTTTACCCTTATCCTCTCTCTCTCTCTCTCTCTCTCTCTCTCTCTCTCTCTCTCTCTCTCTTCTCCCTCCCCCCGACCATCTCCCCCCCTCACACCTGTCTCCTCATGCCACAATTTTGACGGTAAAATGTGACAGATAGCTGGTTGGGTCACAGGTATAGACAGGTGGATGGGGGGGTCGACGTGTGGGTGGAGGGGAGGGGGAGGGTACGACGTGTGGGTGGAGGGGAGGGGAGGGTTCGACGTTTGGGCGGAGGGGAGGTTTCGACGTGTGATTGGAGGTGTGTGGGCGTGGGCGTGTTTGGCTTGGCTGGTGTGGCTTTACTTTGGGTTGACCAGAGTTGATTTAAGCGGCAGTTATTTTTGCCTGAATTCTGGGTCGATTTTGAGTTGAACATACAGATCAAATACCAGTTAGTTTGTTTGTGTTTACAGCATCAGAGAGTTGAGGTGGTTTTGAGTAGACCTGAGGTGGCTTTAGACGTAACTGGAGGTGGCTTTGGCTTGATGGGTCATAATAGGTGGTCGATTTTTTTGTGGCTTAGGATAGGAGGAGGGCGAGGTAAGGCGATGGCTTGCGTCGATGGAGGAGGGAAGAGGAAGCGCGCGTGGCGTGGTGTTGGGACAAGTGGAGTGGGAGGAAGCATGTGAGTTTGAACCCCACATTGACCTTGTCGTGATTCTTCTTCTTCCTCCTTCTTCCTTTTTCTTCCTTCTTCCTTTTTCTTCCTTATTCTTCCTTCTTCCTTTTTCTTCTTCCTTCTTCCTTTTTCTTCTTCCTTCTTCCTCCTTCTTCTCCCTTCTTCCTTCTTCCTTCTTCTTATCAAGGTTTAAGACACAGGGTTGAGTTACTCCACTGTTTGTTATAATTATCATGAACCTTGGCCAGACAATGTAAAGGCTATACGTGAGAGGCGGTGAAGGGTGTCTTGGGGGCGTCACGTTAGGCACCGGTGTAATAAGAATTTACTTCGTTGTGATTTCACCATAGATTGTGTCCTGGTGTAGGGAGGGATGGGGGTTAGGTGCTGGGAGGTGTGGATAGGGGTTGGGAGGCGGCTAGAGGGCTAGTATTAGGTGTGGTAGGGAGCAGTGTGTGTGTGTGTGTGTGTGTTAGTTATCATATATGTGACCATCCTGTTTCCCGTCATCATATCTTCACTATCTCCTGGTTTGTGTTGCTTTTGTTAATTTTTCGTTCCTGTCTTATCGTTCGTTATCATATATTTTCTCCCTTTCTCTCCGGCCTCTGTTATCTCTACCCACGCCCTCCCTTGTTTATTTACAGACAAAGAAAGGCAGGATTATGTGACGTGGATAATAATCTTTTAAAAACTTGGTGATGGATATTCGGATAATCTAGCTCTTGATCCTCGTGTGGATTAGAGGAGCAATATTTCGTCCATTAGTAACTGGACACCCGCATAAAGTATTCTCGGTAAAACACACATTAACACTTACCCTGTCTCCTATACCGACACACACACACACACACACACACACACACGCGCGCGCGCGCGCGCGCGGTCACTGGGTATGTCAGTTGTGGGCGGCTATGGGCGTGTGGGTGGTCCATCTCTTACAACTTGTTTATGTCTACTCGTTGTGTTTTTTATTTTTTTATCCTGTTTCCCTCTCTGTCTTACGTCTTGTGAATTATTTGTCTTTCCCCTGTTTTGTGCGCGCGCGCGACAGGTGGGCAGAGTGAGTGTGGACGTGGTAGTTAAGATGGGTGGGCAGATAGGTAGGTAAGTGTGGGCGTAGGGTTGGGAGGGGGAATTAGAAGGAGGGACGTGTGTCAAAGTTTGGGCGTACCTGCAGGCTTGGGCGTGGGGTGGTAGTAACCTGCCGTGTTTACCTCTCCTCCAGCCGCTCCCGCCCACTTCTTTACCTCTGTCTGGGGGGGGGAGGTTGGTTCTCCCGCCACCAGTCCAGCCTCACTCTGGTGCTGCTCCTCCACCCAGCTTCTCCATCCTCACACCCAGCTCCCCCACCCTCGTACCCAGCTCCTCCACCCTCATACCCAGCTCCTCCACCCTCACACCCAGCGCCTCCACCCTCACACCCAGCGCCTCCACCCTCACACCCAGCTTCTAAACCCAAGAGTTCACAGCTCAATCACCTCCCAACCAGTGTCATGACCCTTCATAAGTAAGTGAGACACACACACACACACACACACACACACACACACACACGTGTCGAGCTTCTTTACACAAAATTTTGTATTCACTGTGGGGAGCCTTTGGTGTAGCCATACAACCTTACTATCGTCCATACTTGTGTGTGTGTGTACCTTACAGCTTGACCGTCGTAAATCCCCCGGAAGGTGGGGTAATGAGCTACAGCGGTGCCAGACCCAGGTTCTAGTGAGAATATTTGATACGTTACGTCACAAGGTTCCTGTTAAACTAGACTGTAATGGTTAGGCTGCACCCACCAACTGTCTGGTTGGCCAGGTCATCACACGGGAAACTTGGTCGGAGACCCAACCTCGGGGGTGAGGAGGATGGCCCTGTGTCCAGTGCAGTACACACCAGGTCCAGTTGTGTGAGAACAAGAAAAGATAGACGTCTTCTGGTGCCACTTCGTGATTCACTCCTCTCGTCCGTTAGAGGTATATGGGAGGGTGGTTGAGGGAGCCGCCGCCATCATTAAGTGTATATCTGTAACTGGGAATGATGTTTAGTATGTGCTTCCTTGTGATGATGACGTGTCTTATGGCTGTGTTGGCCCGCCACCCATACTCGCCCTGCTTGTTGACTTACGGTGTGCTTGACGGTCTCCTCTATTTTAGCCTGCTGAATACCAGAGATAAAGAGGGGAGAGAAAAGGGTGGAGAGAGAGAACCAATGAATGAGGATGATGTCGCGGCAGGCATGTGGTGCATGGTGGATGAGATAGTATTGGTGGAGATGGTTATGGCTGGTGGTGGCGTGCCGCCAGGGGTAGGGGTGTGGAGGGGGAGGAGGAGCCGAGTATAGCGTTTTTCAGGTGATGTTGAGCAGGGCCATGGGAGGTACAAGAGGCGCGGGGCACGCCGCTCCCAGACCAGTTCCCTGCCCAACCCTCCAGCTGACGCTACTGTGCCCGCCCGTCCGCCCACCTATCCCACCCTCCGCCGCCCGCCCGACCCTTCGTCCGGGCCACCCAAAGTCCTTCGCCCCAATTGGTACTCTCTCATATTGTGTCTAGTGAAAAGTTATAGTGTTTGTGAAGGATGTGAGAGACTGGGTAGTGCGGGGAGGTTATGATGTGTTGTGGTGGTGACCAGGGGAGGCGGCCACCCACACAATAACACAACTGCTGCCCTACAGCTTGTACCCACCACCCAACTCTCTTATAAAGGATGTATTAGGGACAACTGTCATACAAAGTTGTGTACCGCACGTGGAGGTGATGTTGTGTTAGTGGTTGTGGCCGCCCAGGTCCCCGTGTTAAGACTTAGTGTTAGCACCACCTGTGTGTTGAGTCAACCTGTGTAGAGGTGAGACACTTGTGTCACCACCTGTGTGGAGCGTTTACCTGTGCGTGGAGACCAGTTGTGGACATTTGTCACCACCAGCTTTGTGGAGCAGCTACCTGTGTGTAGAGACTAGTTTTGGACAGGTGTGTTATCACCACCTTTGTGTCAACGTCGGGTGTGTGTGACCCAGCTCAGGTGAAGGAGGGGAGTGAGAGGAGTGTGTTGGTGGTGGTGGTCGCTGCCGTATATGAGTGACCACTCGTTGAAGAACAGCGTGGTGGTGGAGTGCGGTGGTGGTGGAGGACCTGGCTGGTGCATCACTAAGAGCGTCACCACCATGTACGGCAGCTACACCTCCGGCGGCGCCACCTCCACCCAGGTATACGGCGCCCAGTACTCAGGAGGGCCCGCAGCGCTCCCCTCCCCTGCCGTTGAGCCGCTAGTATTCAGTGTGCCGCCTCCCCCGACCTACCCGCCGCCCCACGACCCCTGCACCGCCTGCACGGCCTGCACCTCATGTGGGCGGAACAGCACGGCCACACATCACTATCACCACCCTACGCCCACCATCACGCCCGTCTCCGTATCACCCACGAGCCAGTCCGAGGAGGATCGCACCCTGGCGTTACAGCTACGAGCAGCGGCTATCTTCAACAAGACGGACGTGATGGTGCCTGGTGGAGCCCTCACGGTGCCGCCCCCTGCCCTCAACCTCCCACCCCCGCCCACAACTACCTTCCCTTACCCTCCACCCATACACCCCGTCCAGCCCACCCTCCCTGCCTCCCACCTCTACGACACCAACAGCGCCCCCGCCCATTACTGCACCTGCGACGCCTCCCCCACCAGTAACTGCTCGAGCTCGTCCTCGCCGCTCCCCTCGTGTCCCTTCCATTCCCTGGCCCTCACCTCCTCCTCCTGCAACACCGCAGCAGCATTCCTCCCCCTTTCTGGCATGGTGACCCTCTCCAACACCGCCTCCACCACCACCACCAGCACCACCGCTTACCTACACTCTCCGTCTCCCTCAGGTCAGTCTTGGCCGGGACCACCAAAGTACTCGACCCCCCTCCCTCCCTCCCTCCCCCTCCCTCCCCCTCATTATCAAATAAACTTTTTCATTTTTAATCCCGTAAAAGTGTTGAACAGCCTCGTATGGACGTGGTGGTTTGCCTCGCCCCTGCACTCACTCTCGTCCCCCTTAAACGTCTATTACTTGTCTCATCTGTCTGGAGAATTTGGCAAATTTTAATCCCTACCACAGCCTGGGTCAGTCCGCCCTTCTCCGCCCCGCCCCGCTCTAACCCTTCAGTGTTACAGTCTGCCCCGCCCTACCTCCACCCACCAGTCTTGAGGCCGTTCTCATATGTTGGTCATGATGCCCCGCCGACTAAGTCACCCCAACACACACTAATAGAGCTGGGGATGTTAACACGTGTTGCTGCCCCCCGGTGCTATTGAACACGCCTAGACCTACTACCACACCTTTACTGCATTTTATATTTTTTTACAGAAAGTTTGAATATTGTTAATTATTACAAAAACAGGCTGGAGACGTTTATAAAAAAGATATTTCTGAAATTTTAATCTCGTGTTAGTTCTCTATATGAAGCTAATTTAGAATGCTTGTTGACCAATAACTACTGAGAGACCTGACGTGAACCGAACTGGCCATTCGAGCTTAACTATCTTTTGGTATTTTATAGTTGAGATAAGGTTAGTTTGTGTTGTAGTCTCACAGCTGCCTTTATTAAACACCTAATGGTAATTTCGGGTAGTTTTATGTCCTCCACCCGTGTCTGGAGTAATTGTGAAAAACTAAAAAAAAATGCAGTAAATGTTTCCAAAGTCCGTGCAAGGTGTTTAAAGTACTACACAGTCCCCCCCCCCTTGACACCTCCCTCAGACCCTCCCCATTACAGGCTCCTCTCCCCCCTCCCCTTCTCACTTCCTCCTCCTCTTCGTCCCCCTCTGAGGTAGCCCCACTCTTCACGCTTCTCTTTCAGGTCTCGGCGGTGTAATCGTCAGCTTCTATTCTTACAGGTAACAAGTCTGTGTTCTTGTATTAATTGGAGCCGTGAGCAGCAGCGAGTGTTTATATAAGTCCCTCCTCTGTGAAGGTGTAGTAAAGTGCCTCATAATCCACCGACCAGAGGAAGTGTGTGGACCCCGACGTAGCCCCTGGGAAGTGTACCCTTTGACTTACCCCTGTGAAGTGTCCCTGTCAAGTGCCCTTCCCCGCATGGTGCCACAGTGACCTACTCCTGTGAAAAGTGCCCCTGTGACCCGCCTGCCCCCCTGTAAGGTGCCACACTAGGAGAGGTGCACAGCCCAGTGGATGAACCTTTGCTTGCAGGTGCGACGTTGAGGCCAGCAGGAGTGTTGTCGGTCTTCACACCAACAGGGTAGGAGACTGAGTGACCGGCTGGTCCTGGCCTCCTCACCCTCCTGGGGCCAAACTCGCCACAAACTGTCTGCACTATGTCACACTTTACTTACCTTCCTGAAGCGTTAACCCGTTGGTACATTAACTCATTCTATTGACGAATCCCTAGAGTGTGTTTTCTGGGGGCCGCATTATACTGGTTCACTTAACACACTAATGAACTTCCTTTTCATTTGTTTTGATACTGACGGGGGGGGGTAATAATTTTGATTTTGTTGGTTCATATACTAATGACCCTTTCCTTTTCGTTCTTAACTGCCGGGGGTATGAGCTTTTTGACGTAAAGGAGGACTTCTGGAGACGAGTGTAGAGTTATATTAAGGTGTGCGAGAGGACGCTGTTTATTTGAGCCATGGAGAAATATTAGCAAAGGCGTGTGGTATGAGAGGAGGTGTAATGTAGACCCGTGTGTGGCTCACCTAAACGTTGAAGGTGGGAGGTCATGGTTTGGCTCTGGCACAAGGTTGGGTTGGTTGGGCAGGGAGGAGTGGAGAGATTATTATGATATCAGACGAGAGGGATCCGTAGAGTCGGGGTGATGGCGCTAGCGAATGGCTGGGTGGATGAAGGGGACAAAGGTAGAGTGTGTGTGTGTGTGTGGGGATCTTAAACCTAGTAAACAATGTGTATTTGCTCGAAAGATACATACATACATACATTTCTCTAACCCCTTCACCCCCTCTTGCATGTCTTCCCTCACACCCCTCGTTCCTCACGTGTCACCTCCTACACGTCTGTCGCACCTCGTTCCACACGTGTCACCCTTTAGACCTCTATCACACTTCACCCCTCACACACATATACTAATTTGACCTTCGTGTTGACGTGGATATTGACCCTCATCTTCCGCATCAGATCTACGCCGTAATTGACCCATAGTGGTTGAGGTTGATAAGCTGTCAGCGGGAGAGGTTAGTTTATTGCCTGACGTTGAGTGTTGTCTGAATTCTCAAACCATGAGGGTGATTTACCTTAGCTTAGCTTAGCTTACCTTAGCTTACCTTACCTTACTTAACCTTACCTTATCTTACCTTACCTTACTTTACTTAAACTTACCTTATCTTACTTTATTTAAACTTGCTTTACCTTACCTTACCTTACCTTACCTTACCTTACCTTACCTACTTGTGAAGGTCGTCTAGGGGGGGTAGGAGACATGATGCACGTGTGAATAAGTGTGGATGTTATAACACAGGGAGCATGATATGTAATAATCTGAGTAACATGATTGACTGTGATGTTACCTGCAAGCAGTATAGGACATGATGACAACGGGATAGTTTAAGAGTTCAAATATTAGTGGAATACGATGTTGATCTCTACAGTGAGCCTTACTCTTCCCCCAGCATGTCTCCCCTTGTGATGTTGCCCTCGTTGGTGTACTGTATATATCAATTTGGTGTATGTTAGTTTGGCTACAAGGGAAGATGTGGTGTGTTGTAGCGAAAAGGATGTAGAACTGTAGTTGGACTCTGGCGGCGGTAGGAGTGTGTTCAGTGGACTCTGGCGACGTATGGAGGGTGTTGGGTGGACTCTGGCGACGATAGGAGGGTGTTGGGTGGACTGGCGACGAGTGGGTGGTGTTGAGTGGACTGGCGACGAGTGGGTGGTGTTGGGTGGACTCAGGCGACGAGTGGGTGGTGTTGGGTGGACTCAGGCGACGAGTGGGTGGTGTTGGGTGGACTCTAGCGACACTTTTGGTGTTAAAGAGACTAATTTACCATGTATGCCGCTGGGACAAACGATTATCGTTTGCGGCATTTAATGGGAAAACGTAAATCAGTGGTTGACATCTGCGGCCTCCTCTACCACCTTTTTACAACCTCTTAATGACGTTTCCCTTGAGTCTTGGCCAAACCCGCCGCCCCTTGCACTTAGTGACCTCATCAAGCCTTCGCTCACGTATGTCTGCACGTCCACCCTCATATGCACATACGCCCTGCTGGTGCTGATGTTTGCTCGTCATTTACATGAGTGGAGGACGACCCAGAGTCGTCAGTAGAGCGACAGGACACAGGTGAGAGCATCCGTAAGAATGTTTGAGGGCAGTGAGCTGTGCAGGTGTGGCGTGCCAAGTGATAACCCTCGATGATGGACGGTGGCTCGCTTTCCTGCCACTCCTCCTCCTCCTCCTCTGGTGTCTCAAGGTGAACTGTGTTGCTGCCAACATGTCCAAACCCCTAAGTCCCAACATTACCCCCCCCCCTCCCTTCCCCTCCCCCAGCAATCTTTTGATCCGGTGTGATGCATAGTTTGGAGAGAGAGAGAGAGAGAGACCGTGGGACACCGGGACGTGAGTGTAATGACGCTGTCCGCCACTCCGTCCCTTTTGCGTGGTGCACAGCTGTTAGGGATTTACGAGGCAGTGTTGAGGGTTGAAGGAGAGGGACGCAACTGGCCCTATCATTACATCTCCCAGCCTCGTTACTGCTTATTGATGACGCAGCTCTGGCGACGTTACTGGCACTAGAGGCTTAACCCACTGTTAGTATGGAAACAATTCAGGTCGTATGCAGGATTTGGTAATTTTTTATATTTTATTCACTTAAATCTTTTCCTCATTACAAACTCTTAGACAAGACTGAGAAACAGCAAGTAAGAAATATACACATAGGGCGTACCTTAAATTAACATTGTTACCCCCTTGTGTACTGGGTCCCCTCTGTGCTGAATAAAATCGACTGTCGTTAACAAATATTAAAAGTGACGTCCCGTTGTGATGGGGTTAAAGTCGACGCGTCTTAAATGTGAACAGTGTAGTAGTATTGAACTGTACTTTGGAACTAAACGAATTGTAAGTCTTTTAAGTATGTTTTTATATTGTATTCATCTATATTGTATTAATTTATATGTTTACGATTGTGTATAGATTATCTTATTTCACGTAAGTGTATTTATGTAAAAAGCCCTGGGAGGTGTATGTATAACCTTCATTTATCATAGTTGGTGATAAAAGTGGACTAGTTTAGTGCGTTTTCTATATTTGGTCCGTGAGAGAAAATGTTATATATGTGGAGTTTTGACGGGTGACGATTTCAAAATATACACTTTTCTCCTCTTGGTAATTTTGGTTATAGATACGTTACAGTTAGCATTATAAGATGACTAATAAAAAATAATGGCTAAGGGATACAATAAATATTTTAAAACTACAGGAAATATAAGAGGCTGGCAGTCTCACCCATTCACCGTAAAGAACAAGGTATCTCAGCGGCGTTGAATACTGCCGATAGAGAATGAGAAAGCCATTTATTAATTTGTATATTCGGGATGTATAAAAGCAGATACGTTGCAGTTGTGGCGCCAAAACGAGTCATAGATGAGCCAGGGGTGGGCGTCGGAGGCTGAGGCTCGCTGTAATAAAATCCCAATTAACTTTACCTAACAGGGTATTACAGGTTCCCAGAAATTTGAGCTGGCGGGGGATTTTGTTCATTTAATTATTCTGCTGTTGGGATATTGTCTTGTGAAATAGAATTGAGAGAGGGATTTTGTCCAGTGTAATGCCGTTATAGGGTCTGTCTGTCTGTCTGCCTCTGTCTGTCTATTTGTCTGTATGGTGTAACTTGGTGTCGTTCTTGTCTG